CTTTTTTCTAAATGAGATTTGGAAGCTTGGCCCCAAGCAATGAGGCTGTAAGATATATAGGGAGAAATTGGTGAGTTGCAAATACTTAGAAGTGTTTTTAAAGGGACAAAATGTCTTGGTCTCAAAATAATTCCAATATTTCCACTGATTTTTAGAGCAATATAATTAATGTGTTGTTTCCAGGATAAATGCTGGTCAATTATTACCTCTAAGTATTTAATATTATCCTTATGTTCAAGATCAAAAAAGGTTTTAGTGCAGCCATCATAGGCCTTTATGCAAATGTTAAAATTAATGCGTTTTTGATATGGATGAAACATTATATAGTTTGTTTTCTTAATATTTAAGGAGAGTTTATTTGCGATTAACCAGACGACAACTTTAATTAGTTGACAGTTGACAAAAGTTTCGGGGGATTTTAGGTTTTTATCAGCATATAAAGGGTTAGTGTTAGTAGCAAAAAGGTAAAAGGTTAATTTGTCTGAGGCCATGTAGATATTTACATAAATAAGAAATAGTAGTGGGCCAAGTACACTTAATAATTTGGATATATCAACAAAGTTAAAATGGTAAATTGGCCACCGTAACGATTACAAAAGCTAACGTCTCGAGCGTTAGTCCTTCGCTCCGACAAAGGGCTAACGCTCGAAACATCAGCTTTTGTAATCTTTACGGTGGCCAATTTACCATTTCAACTTTGTTGATATATCCAAATTATTTCATTACTCCCACCGACGCAGCCCCAAACAGTTTCTTTCGAAACTATCAGCCTTTATTCACAAGTACACTTAACACTTACAGGGATGTAGATAATAGCTGGAACCCAGGAAAGTTACCTAACTGTGAACGCCATATTTTCGGCTGTAAAGCATTACTTCTTTCTCCGAATTGTTTATAAATGCTTTCAGAAGATTATTATTTAGACACATAGCAGCCTTAGAAAAGTTCCAGCAACGATGTTTACGGAAAATGATGACCATTAAGTGGCAAGATAGGAGAACTAATCTCAGTGTTTTGGAACAAGCAACTATGTGTAGTGTGGTGAGTGTGTGTGTGAGGAACCAGTGAGATGGAGTGGCCATGTAGTGAGGATGGAAAACAACAGACTGCCAAAATAGATGTTTTACAGTCAACTGACAGAAGGTAAACGGGATGTAGGAGGGCAAAAGAAAAGATTCAAGGACGGGCTGAAAAGTCACCTTAACCAGTGCGCTATTGACACTAGGGAATGGGAAAATCTGGCTATGAACAGAACTGTTTGGAGGAAAGCAATAAGAGATGGAATTGAAAAGTTTGAGGAAAGGCATTCAGAAGGCATAAGGCTGAAGAGGGAAAGGAAGAAAGAAAGACAAGAACAGCCATGGACAGAATTACCACCAGGCCTGTGTTGTCCAGAATGTGAGAGACAATTCAAGGTTCGTATTGGTCTTTACAGCCATTACAGAACTCACCATCAGTCAATGATGTGAAATGGACACCTATCTTCTATACAGAAGGGGAGTCAACGATGACGACGATTTATTTATTTCATTTGTTTCCATCTTCATTGCTGTCTTACCTGAACTGAAAGGGTTGTTGACACTCCAGTTAGTGCGACAATCACATAATTTGAATTGCAGGTCCACTTTGGAGGCTCAATAACCAGCAGTATTTGTAACTCGTGTATGCAAAAGAAGGAATGCCAAAGGCGCTGGCCTTCGCCCCAAATACCCACCTCTCATTGCTAGATTCACACCTGTTAAAAACTTTAGCTACATCCCTGACTTAGTTAAAGCTACCATTGTTCTCAAGTGATATGTCTCTGGTCTGAAGGTGATGGTTTTCAACTGATTTGTATCTGCTGCCATTTTCGCAGTAAATGAACAGCACATGTCATGGTGTTGAAGTGCGCCTGCCATCCCAGTTTCAGGAGAAGCCACTGAAACAATATGGCGCGCTGTGAATGCAGTATTGACGTGTCAAACTACATTCAATTTTTTCGATTATCTTGTAATATTCAGAAATCATTTTACCAGAAACAGAAAGGCGGGTTGTATACTAGCTATCATGCCCGACTGATTTCCTAGTATAAAGATTTAGTAGCAAAAGTTGTGTCATGGTTTTCTTTAGGTAGTGGACAAAATGCGAGTCGCCAGCTGGCGACCAGTTCTGAAAAGTTAGTCGCTAGAGCTCAATTTTTGGTTGCATTGGCGACCAGTGAGTCGCAATTTCGAGCTTTGCAAATCAGTTCCTACTTTTAAACCTTTTGGCACAAAGAGTTTACAACACTGCACCATCTTGAGAAACATCTCATAGTGATTCTGTCTTCCATAAGTACAAAATTCAAATTTACCAAAAGCATGTTGCCAACTTTATTGACTTTGTTTTTATGCATCATTATCCCTTCAGCAGAGCACCGACCAAGTCCCTCCCACCATGAAGTACAATTGCATATTTCTGAGCAATTTATATGATCTGCTGAATCCTGATAAATGAATGCAGCATAACAAAATCTTGCTTACGTATGATGCACGATCCTCGCAGTAGATAGCGCTATTTAAGCAATAGCGAAAATCAGACCTTAAAAAAATCAGGCCTGTATGGGACTCGAACCACTGACCTCTGCGATACTAGTGCAGCGCTCTACCAACTGAGCTAACAAGCCAACTGAGAGCAGGCCGTTAAGTTGATTCGTAATGAACCCGTGAAAGTGATAAATGAGATAGAATAAATATATGAAAATCATATATTTTGAACTGCAGTATTTGATAGGTATGATGCACGATCCTCGCAGTAGATAGCGCTATTTAAGCAATAGCGAAAATCAGACCTGAAAAAAATCAGGCCTGTA